GTTATCTTAGAAGTTAAATATAATTAATTATATAATTTTATTATTCAGTTTATATCACTTGGAGAAGTATTTTAAAATATTGTATTTTAATTTTTATATTATTTTGTAAAAATATAGAGGCAAAATATTATGGAAGTTAAAAAATAATATTTTTTTTATGTTAACGGGTCTAGAGGGTCTGGGAGGTCACAACCGTTTAATTCGGGTATGGGTTGGGGCGGGTTTGGGTCTAAGCTAAACCGGGATGGGACGGGTCTAGGTATTATATATTTTTCATTGGTCGGGTCTCGGGTTTAGGCAAACCGGCCCAGAACCAACCCGCTGCCATCCCTAGGTCCAACCAATCATCCCAAATAAAATAAAACTAATTCGTCAAAGAAGAAATATAATATATATTGTACAGACCCAGACTCTAAAAAAACCACTACCGTAGGGTCTATCAGTGGCGAGTTTAGGAATTTGGTACAAGATGAGCTTAATTTTTAGAGGTACCTGGATAGTGCCCCAAAAAAAAGTTAGGACTTTTTTTTTGTGACTAAATCAGAAAATGGAAAAGAAAAGGGAAGAAAAGAAGAAGAAAAAATAGAGTTTTTTTGCATTAATTTGAATTTTGGGTGGGCTAATTAACAATATTTGGGGCTTCTTTTGCATTAATTTTGATTTTGAGTGGGTTAATTAATAAAAATTGGGTGGACTGAATAAATATATTGGTATAATATATGGGAATATTTATAAATTGAGAGTGTGCTTGACTCCACCCTGCCAAACGGATGGACTCGCCCCTGCCGTCTATGACTCCGTGAAATGCAAATAGCAAACTGAAAATTAGAATTTGCATTATGAATTGCAAACAACAAACTACCTATGACTTCGCCAAATGCAAACAACAATGTGAAGAGAAAGCCCGCATGGGTATAGCTCAACTGGTTCCGGATGTGGTTAGTTGGTACAAGGTCCTAGGATCGAATCTTGGCAGCCGCAGTGTGGGAATTTCAACTCCAATGAGGGTTGGTTCCTTGTGGGCACCAGGTCCGGGTCCTCTACCTTAACGGGTCGTTGAGTCACCATGATTTACATTCCTCCATCAAATACTTGTCGGGCGCAAGGAATAAGGGCCCTGGGGGCGAGGGATTTCGCCGTTCTAGTACAACAATGTGAAGAGAAAAAATCAGCATCATCTAATTACAACAACGAAATGAAAATATGATATGTATCATCTAAATGCAAATAATAACAACCAAAATGAAAAAAAAAAGTAATAAATTTATGACATAAACAGACTCATAGCATCAACAAACCTCAAAATTTATACGTAATTTTGATAATTCGAGACCAACATCTTTGTTCGCTGCTAGGGAAATAAATTGGTTGTATGAGAGTAAAAAAAAAATTTAAAAATATTATGTAGGGTGAAAAAGTTTAGTTATAGGAATGTTGCTTACCGAGACTCAAACGTGTTTGAACCATTGGGAGAACTAGAAATTGCAAACATGAGCAATTGAAATCGCAAACACAAACAACAAACAGGGTCTCTAAATAGCAAACGGTTTCTCTAAATAGCAAAGGAAGAACAAGAAAACAAGTCCCACAACGAAACAACAAACGAAAAAAAATGGTTATGGTTTGTTGAAGGTTTTAGCTATGACAGGATTCAAAAGGAAAGAGAAAAAAAATCAGAATGATGCTAATTGAAAAGAAAAAATATCGGAAGAAAGAGAGGAACACGAGAGAGACATAAGATAGATAGGGAGAGATGGATGAGAGATTAGATGTAGGGAGAAAGAGACGTGAGATTGGAGGAAGACCATGAGTGATATATGTAATTTATTTTCTTATTAATTGAGGATGTTTATGTCTATGTACTGATTATTTTATTTTATTTATATGATTTTCTGGGTCAAAAGACATCTGTCTATATTCATCTAACAACTAGGATTTGCATTTAAGATTGTATAATGAGTAAAAATAGTAGACAAACTCATAATCCAAACAATTTAAAAATCAATTATAAAAATAAGATGTAACAGTTAATCAGCTCTCAAAACACGTTATCAACATAAGAGTTTAACATTTATTTAAAATAAATTTAGCCAAACAGGCTCTTAAACTACAATCTCAAAAATAATTCTTCATTAGCTTTTTCAAGTTTAAATTTACATTGGACATTTGTGCTTATAATTTTGGGGTGGTTAGTGAGACCTCTCTCTAGCTTTGTTGTAATAATGATGGGTCCAATCCCTTTTCTTTTATTAGTGATATGTCCAACTTTTATTTATTCTCAAATTTACCCTTCTTTATATTTAGCTGCACATCAGCACATGCCTTATTCATTTCTTTGTTATTTTCATTTTTCTTTTCATTTTGTTTATTTAAAAAAATAGTTTTCTAAATAATTTTTATAAATATTTTTTAATAACTAAAACAAATATTTTTTCAGCTACTTTTTTATTTTGTTTTTCCAAAATCAACTATAATATTTTCGAAATCAACTACAATTTTTTTGAAAATCAACTAAAAAAATTGTTTTTTTTTTCATATCATTTTCTTTAAATCCATTTGATTTCGATTTTTTTTTTCCAGCTAATTTACCAAATTGACAAATTACTACATATTATTGAAATAACTATAAAAATCAAATCAACTAAAAATGTCGAAAACAACTAAAACAAATAGTAGGATAACGAAAACAACTTTATAAAAATAGCAGAATAACAAAAACAACTATATTGTTGGAAAAGATACCTAACATCAAAAGCATTAAAAAAATCAAAACGATAGTGATGACGGGGCAGAGGTGGCGGCGGCAAAGTGAATAGATCCGACGGTGGAGTTGAGCGGTGGAGGTAGGGAGGGATTTTGAGTTTTTGGTGTCGTCTTTAACAAATTAAAAATGTGTAATTGAGTTGAAATTTCTCTATCTTTTTGTGCCCACTTCAAACATTACATGCTTGCTGTGTAGGAATTGTTCCAAGGTTAACTACTTTTTAAGATTAACAGAAACAAAAGCATTTGCCGAAAGGAAAATAGTGTTTTAGTGGGTTTGATCATCCATTAGTGTCCCCATCAACATAAGGAGAGATGCATTAACACCTTTGCTTCTACTTTTTATCGGGTGAATTAGACAGTGAGAGACCCATAAATCCAAGTTTCACTATAAAAAAATCTACCTTTTAACTTTCATTTTAAATAAATTCACAAAAACATTAATTCTCAAAATAGCCATACATATTTCTATTTGAGATAAGTCCAACCCACCCCCCCTCCCATCCCACTCGCGCACCAGGCTGGTCGGACCTAGACATGGCCACGGGCCGGGTCGGGTCGGACCCGCCGGGTCCGGGTCCGGGTCCTACTTTTTTGGGACCCGAAACCGACCCGCGTGGATGCGGGTCCGGGTCCAAAACCTTAATTCACTAAAATTTGAATTTTCGGGTCGGGTCTGGTTCGGGTCCGGGTCGGTTCCAGGTGGACCCGAGTTTTTAGCCCTTGTAATTGAAAAAAATATATATTTTTTGAATTCTCGGACCGGGTCCTGTTCGAGTCCGGGCCGGGTCCGGTTTATAGCCGTTGCATTTTCAAAATTTGAGAAAAAAAATAGTTTTTATTCGGGTGGACCCGACGGGTACTCGGGTCGGGTCCTCAGGTCCACCCGCCGGGTCTCGGGTCCAAAATATCGGGACCCGAAACCGACCCATACATTTTCGGGTCCGGGTCCATGGTCAACGGGGCGGGGCGGGGCGGTCGCCGGGTCGGGTTCGGGCCGGGTCCGGGTCAAACCCGGCCCGTGGCCATGTCTAGTCGGACCAGGTCTGGTCCGGTCAGATTTTTATTTGTTTTAATTTTTAGAAAAAAAAATATTTTTTTCTTTCTATTCGGCAGCAGATCGTCGGAACTCCAGTTAGCTGACTCAGCATTAGTTAACTTCAACATTAGTTAACTTTAAACAATCCGTTTTTTTTTTTCTTTTTTCCTTTTTTCGGTGATGGATCATCGGAGCTCCGATTAGCTAACTCAACATTAGTTAACTTTAATGGTAGAAATCTTTTTTTTTCCCAATGGCGGGTCGTCTGAAGTCTAGTTAGCTGGTTCGACATTAGTTAACTTTAAACAATCCATTATTTATTTATTTTTTAAATAAATAAATAAAATAATCAAAATAAAACAAGATAAGCAAACCCTAATTAGAATTTGAAAGGGTATAAGCTAATTATTTGTGTTTATAGCAAATGAAACTTAGAAGTTAGAACTAATGACTTATGCTCAAGAAATAAAAAACACTTGGGTTTATCACACATTATGTAAGCTAATGAGGGGGCTATCTCAAATAACCCTTTTTATTTTAGGTTATTTTTAAGTTGTGTTTGCAAGAGCTTATTTAAAAGCAGAAGTTGATGATTGTAAATTAAGTAGGGATTCAATGTTTATTTTTAAAAGTTTGGGGGTGTTTGCAAATTAGCTGGAAAATCAACTAAAATTGAAAAATCAGATACATGAGTGCTTTTAAAATTATAGCTTAAAACAAGTTGTTTTAAAATAAGCAAAAACAAAAGCTTGTTTCGTAAACACCTAAAAACAGATTATTGTGATGTTTGCAAAAGCTTTTATAAATAGATTATGAGCTTTTCTTTGCTCATAATCTATTTTTACGTGTTTGTAAAATTAACTTATGTTTTTACTTCTCTTAAAATAAACAACTTTAAGCTATAGTTTATTAAGCACACATTACCCTCATTTTTTCTGTTTAAGTTGATTTTCCAGTAAATTTATGAACACCCCCAACTTTTAGAAATGAACACTTAAAATTAACGTAACTCACAATCCATAACTTCTGCTTTTAAATAAGCTTTTGCAAACCCCACCTTTGTGTAGGAAAAAAAACTCATAATCTATTTCTAAAAGCTTTTGCAAAACACTACCTAAGAAGTATTAAAAGTCCAAAAAAAAAAAAAAAAAAAAAAGGAGTATTGAAACTTCACCTAATAATTGGAATACTCCTTAAATTAGGGAAATCACACCAAATGCAATACCATAATCATACAACCAAGTCCAAACCAATCTTGCAAAACCATTTTACCATGTTGCTAAGTTTCTCAAAATTTCAACTATATTTCTTGACAACCGTAAATAAAACATTGACTAAAGCATATATAAAAAACTAAACCCGGAAAAAAAAAAATCCGAAAAATAAAGTATAACAAAAGTTGGTCCCAATAGAATGGTTCAACTAGGTAATAATTAATATTACTTGGCTGCAGAAAGCTTGTTCTTTTTGTTGCCCTTCTTCCTAGAAGTGCTGGTTTCCGGTGCTTCCGCCTCTTCCGCCTTTTGCTCCGCCTCTAAAATAGCCAACTGATTGTATCCACATTCGAATTAGTGGTAATAAAATGAGTTGAATTCATCAATTTATATATATATTTCACATATATATATACAAGCGACAATGATTCTTGATTTTTACTCAACCCTATTCTTTTTGCACATTTACCCGATGAACAACGTTGTTTCGTCTGATTATTCGATAAGAAACAACGGTGGCTTAATTTCTTCTCTATTTATTTTGACCTTGTTTGGTGTTTAGAGTGCAATATTGGAATCTTAAAGCATGAGAGAGAAATGTTACCTCGTCTAGTATCGGCTTGAGTTCCTTGTACCTAGATTTAGCAAGATCAAATCCATCTTTACGGAGTTCCTGCGGCGACACAAGTAAACAACGTTAGAAGCCTCGAATGAAATGGAAATCCATCTTTGTAGGAAGCTCGTGTTTCAGAAGTCATTCTGGCATAATTATGTCAGCGTACGACTCGGTTTGGAAACAATGTCATCTTCATTGACTTCAAATTATGATTATCAGTGTAATACACTACAAATTATATATATATATATATATATATATATATATATATATATATATATATATATATATATATATGGTGTTCTCTAGTATTCTTCTTGCGATCTTTTCACATTATTTTGATGGCTCGACAGCCTTCAAACGAAACGTATAACTTTGCCGCACTATTTACTAAGGGAAACAAAACTAAAATAATATATAAGGAGGAGCAACCATATAGAATGGCGAACTAAACAGAAACGAAGAATTCAAAAAAAAAAAAAAGACGGACCTTTCCAGTGTGTTCTGTATGTTCATATGCTGCCATTTGCCAGTACATATTAGTTCGTTTGTAGAAGTCCTTCAGCGATTCTCCGGGCTTTGTAAATAAAGTTGAAGAACAAATTAGTCACTCAAAGAAGAGACCAAAAAAAAGGGGTAAATTACAACCAACCCCTTGAGGTATGGTAAAATTACGAAACCCCCCCTCCTGTTTGGGTAATTACAACAACCCCTCAACTATAAATTTTCTTACACGTCCACCCTAGTGGTTTCAAATTTAGTGGAATCTTCCTGATTATATGGAATATTATCACTTTTGTACCCGTTTTATCCCATTCGAACTCCACATTTTGAAGCAAGATGATCATAAGATGTGTTTTTTGACTTGTATATATCAGATTGTGTGCATCAAGATTGTGGTGCATCAGAAACTGTATTTTTACACAAAACGAGTACAAACTAGAGCACATTCCACGGAATCTAGATGATTATGTTGAATTTGACACCATAAGAGTGGAGGTGTAAGAAAATTCATAGTTGAAGGGTAGATGTAATTATCCAAACAAGAGGGGCTTTTTCATAATTTGACCATACCACAGGGGTGGTTGTAACTTACCCAAAAAAAAAAGAAAAGAAAAATCAAACCCAGTTGGAAAATTCTTACCGTAGGGGTTCTCTGTGAATCAGAAAGACCGAGGCTCGCTCTAATTTGGTCAATCCTGGCTCGTTTCTCCTTCCTTCGTAGGGTTTTTCCTTCACCCTTTATTATAGCTACAGCATCCCCCATTCCGACCGATTTAGCACCACCATTCGAAACCTTCACAGACGAAGAAATGATTTTTGGTCAACAAACATATTTTCTTTTTTTTATTAATTATATATTTTTAATGATAAGTGAAGCACCTCCATATTGCAATCTTCATCGCCGGATTCTTCACTGTCATCTTCAGCTTCACTGTCTTCATTTTCACTATCATCATCTTCGTCATCTTCTTCTTCGTCTTCTTCATCTGATGCTTCAACCCATTCCGTTTCAGTTGCCTGTTTAATATTTAAAATATAAAATTCAATCTAATTCACACGAAACGAGAAATAAGGTATAAACGCCATTATTAAAAGTAAAAGGGTAAATTACAACCACCTCCCTGAGGTAAAGTTTAATTACAAAAAAACCCCTTTTGTTTGAGAATTTACAACCGACCCCCTGTAATTTGTAGATTTCTTACATTCACCCCCTACAAAAGGGTGTTTCAAGGGGATGGATGTAATTATTGGAAAATGAGGGGTTTTTTTGTAAATAGACCTTACCTCAGGGGGAAGGTAAAATAAATAAATAAATAAATAAATAAATAAAGAAAAAAAAGTGAGAGAGAGATAAAGAAACCTCAATGATGCACTTCCATTCGTCGAGTTTGTTAAGGTTAAGTGCATATAAATCGTCGAGTGTAATCTCTCGATCTTTAATTTCCATCATGCCCCCATAAATATATAACGTATCTTTTCCAACAACCATGCAAGAATTAATTCTTCCACAAGGTTTCACAATCTGCAAAATTATACAAGTGTCAGTCAACCGATCCATAAACCACAAACTAATTTTCAAACAACTTTCGTAAAAACCTTAAAATAAACAAACCTCCGGTAAAACAGAATTCTGCATGGCGAATTTCTTGGTAGGCTTAGAAACTTGTTCTCCGTCGGTAATTTTTACATTTTTGTTCAAATTAACGGATATATTTTTCACGCCGCCGGCCATTTCAGTTTCATCAGAATCAGAATTTTCATCTTCATCGGATGATACGATGTTTTCCCTTTCCGACACTTTAATTTTGCTATCAATATCCATATCGTTGGCCCTCCCATCGGAATTCTTCTTTAACTGAAAAATCATTTAAAAACGTGACGAAAAAAGGTTAAATGTATATATATCCAGATATTAATATTCATGAAATAAAAAATGCTGAAAAGAATAATACCTTATCTTTTGTCGCCTTCTCCTTTCGCAACTCCAACGGATACCTTTTTCAAACATAAGAATTACAACTACTTAGCCACTTCTATGGCAGTTAACTCACACACAAAAACGAAAAATTAAGTGCGGATAAGCAGAGATATTTAAAGCCATAATTAAATGAAAGTAACACAAAAGCATGCAGAAAGGTGAATTTTTTACCAGCGATGATTGTCTAATTGGAAGCCGTAAATTTCATTCAAGAACAAGCTCATCATTACGTCACCTGTGCAGAAACTTGATATCAGGATTTTGTAATACAGAAAGAGCACAAACTCAACAGAGCATACGAGCAAAATGTAGCCAGTCGGTCCCCTTAGGCCTCGTTTGCTTCACAGGATAAGATAATCCAAGATAATCATTGTTCAATCTTGTGACTTATAAAACCACAGTTCCAATTTTTTTCATAATAGAGGCTCGACCTAAAAAATTATTGCACTAACCAAACATCAAACAAGACCTAGTTATTTAATTACTCATGACTTATCTTAACAACCAAACGAGTCCTCTGAATACAGAGTTCTTTGATCACCATAAGAAGGAAAAATGAGGATGAACGTATATTAAAAAAAAAAAAAAAAAAAAAACCAAGAATGCAGTTTCATTATCACTTCCTTCATTATATCATAACGTCGTATATTCAGCAAAATTTATTCTTGAATCTGAAATCGAAGATCTTAAATGTTATAAATAATTCAGGGGCCAGTTCAAAATGCAACATTTTACTATCGAGATCTAAAATCATTCTGGGTAAATCTGAAAATGTGAACAGCAGATAATTGATTTTCCCGTAAAAGTAAAGGAGCTGTTTCAGTTAGAGGACACGAAGAAAAAAAAAAAAAGAGAGGCAGAATTATTTAAGAACAATTGTGACCTTCCATTTCCATATCGACAACTCCTCCGAAGAGCAATGCCCTCTTTTTATGGATACACATTGAGAAACCAGCACGACCTCCAGGTGGCATCCCACTCTTCTTAACCTTAACACACATACAACGGTTAAACGGATTGTAGATTAAAAAAAAATCGGGCATAAGGAATTAGAAAAAGTAGTTTAAGATTCTTCGAGCGAAGGCGGCTCGTATTTTGTAATTCGTGCATCTATAAAACTCAATCTTTCCAACTTCCAAAACAAGTATTTCGAGAACATGCAACCATAAGGGTGCATTTGTAATTTAACAATTGAGACTGAATCCAGCCACTATAATATAACACGAAATATAGCTAGAATACAAACACCATTCCCCTGAATATAATTTTCTTGTCTGAAGATGTTAGAGAATGTAAAAACGAAAAATTAGAGTTATCGATTACAATCATGATAGTGAGGCAAATATTACGTTTCCACACAGTATATAACAAGATAAAGACACTAAAGTACCTTATTCCATTCCCAAGTTCTGGGATCGAGGGACCACATGTCTGAATAAACAATTCCTTTCTCGGAGACTTTTTTATCTGATGACGAGACCTCTTTCGAATAACCACCATATAAATAAATCTGAGATGATTTAATTTGATATAATTAACATTTATTCCGAGATTGCAAAAAAAGTTCAGCAATAAAAATAAGGTTGATGCACTGACCGTATCTTGGTAAACGACAAATTGGAAACCGCTTCGAGGACTCGGCCACAGGCATCCAGGAGTAGGTTTTATCTCTTGCCACTACAATGAACGATACTATTTGTTACACTTAACATTCTGAAATCGAAGAAATATTCATCAGTAAATTTTCGAAACGAACGGCAATATTACCCTCGTTGTTGTACCATACCTTATACTGGTCCAGGTCAAATACATGCAGATCATTGAAATACCTGCATCGGTTGAAATTCTTAGATGGTCGAATACCAACTTGTTTCACAAACAAGTTGAAATTTTGAAACGAAATTTGTGTTACGTAGTAACAAGGAACGAGAAAACTACCTCACTTCTCTAAGAGTGTCGTAGAAGCCTCCGAATATTATGATTTTGTGCTTGTATAGAACCTGAAAAATAATAAGATTCGACATACAAAATGCGTTATTTTATCATATAAATATTCCCTAAAAACGTGCAAATAATTTCGAAAAGCTCCGACTTACCATCCTATGACCCGAACGTGGACTAGGACAACCTTTATAATTCAGTTGCTCCCACTGATTTGTTTTCAAATCCAGCATCCAGAAATCCTACAAACACGCACATTCAAAATTAAAAATCTCGACTTTGCACAACCTTCACTCGTAGTCATTCCCTAAGAATCACTACCTTGTAGTGGTGAAATCGCTCTTGATTCGGAGATGTAAATTCACCACCTGATTGCACGCAAAAAAAAATAAAAAATTAAATCATTGTCATGTATCCCGTACAATAACCCGAGTCTAAATGCAGTCTATGTTATATACCATAAATATAGAGATAATTCTTCCATGAAACAGCCTGATGAGCGCTCCGAGGAGGCGGGCTATTAGGGCTCGAAACCAACTTCCACTCTTGCTTTTCCACGTCGTACCGGTACAGGTCACCATATACAAATGTCTGCACAAACAATTTTGGTATCAGACACATTAGTTGCAACGAAAATGAACGATATTATTTTCCCCATTTTAATTTCCTTCACATAAGACGTATTACATTTCGGTTGTGGCGCACTTTAATACGTATAGACACCAATTCTTGTTTTACACTAGAAAATGAAATAGAAGAAACCGAACCGACTTAGATATCTAACTTATGTAGCTGTTTTCCATCTCAAAGTTTTTGTGAATTATTAAGTTTTTGTGAATTGTTATTACATAAATTATATTATACATAACACATTAAAAAAAACCACAACGAAGAAACTAACCTTGTTCCCATTGTAAAATTCACCTCCATAGAGAATCAATTCCGTCTCTTTCAACGGATTGATGGTTAGCTACACAAAGATGAAACAACAAAACTCAATTAGCTATCAATCTTAACACAAAATAAAGCACCACGAAAGTAAGTTGAGATTTCTACCGAACAATTCGATCTCGGAGACGGGGCAGGAACATTATCTTCAATGTGTATCTCCTTCTTTTTTGCTTCCTCTTTTTGTATATTCAACTCCATGCAACAATAACATATGCCGCCAACAAAAAATCAATTCCAAAACAATATTCAATCCAAAGACTCCATTTTTATTTCTATTTTTGCCAGACTACACAATAATCCCCAATTAAAACCCTAATTCGATAACTCTAATAAAATTGAATAATCATCAATACCAAAATAGCATCAATATCGTCCTCGGGAGAGAGTTTCTTGGAGTCGCGGCGGGACCTTTTCTCCTCAGCTTTGGCGGTTTTCTTTTCGGTTTTCTCCTTTCCTTTACCCGCTTTCTTCGTTTTCTTTCCCATTAATTCGATTTGTAAAGCTGCCGCTGCCGCTGTTGCCAACTCTCTCAACTCTACTCAAGTTTATGTTTTGAAGTCTTTTGGGTATTTAATTCGCGGCGAAACGAATCGATAGTGTAGGTATTTTTGGGGACAATTAAATTATTATTAGCTCAAAACCCTCGTATGTAATTCCATTCATATTATTAGGGGTAATTTTAGCCAGTACAAAAAAGTTTATATACAGGAGGGATTTCGCCTTGTTTGTACAAATTTATATATACGGTCTTGAAATTAAAGAAAATAAGTGCGTTGATAGATGAAGGCAGGTGAGTCTGTTAACGATTATTTTGCTAGAACACTACTTGTGACCAATAAGATGAGGATTCATGGAGAAAAGATGGGCGATGTTGTTATTATTGAAAAAATTCTCAGATCTATGACAACAAAGTTTGATTACGTTGTATGCTCAATTGAAGAGTCTAATGAAATCGATGATTTATCAATTGATGAGTTGCAAAGTAGTTTGCTCGTGCATGAATAACGAATTGTTGGTCATGCTATGGAGGAACAAGCATTGAGAGTCGGTCATGAGTCATACTTTCCTGGAAATGGCCGAGGCCGTGGCAATTATGGAGGTTCAAGAGGGCGAGGCCGAGGTCGAGGTAGAGGCTGGGGTAGTTTTGACAAATCTAGAGTGGAATGCTACAATTGTCATGAAATGGGCCACTACCAGAGTGAGTGTCCGAAAAATATTAAAGCGAATTTTGCAGAGGCTGAGGATGAGATGCTACTAATGACCTGCTTCGAGAATAAGGAGAAAGTAACATTTACACCTACTGAGTATGGTAAACAAGTGTGGTATCTTGACTCGGGTTGTAGTAACCATATGACCAATGAAAGAGCATACTTCTCCAACTTAGATGAGAACTTTACGGAGAAAGTTAAACTCGGAAACAACTTAAGCTTATGTGTTAAGGGTAAAGGCGATATCAAGATGGAGGTGAATGGTGCAATGTATCGATTCACGAATGTGTTCTACGTACCCGATCTCTCCAGCAACTTGATTAGTGTTGGTCAACTTCAGGAGAAAGGGCTTTCTGTCCTTATGCACAAGGATAAATGTTCGATTCATCACCCTGAACGTTGGCTTATAATTCAAGTTGGTATGGCGAAAAATAGAATGTTTCCTATATATGCCAGGAAACCACCATCTTCTCAAAAATGCTTCCAGTCCTCTACAGTGGATAATAATTGGTTGTGGCATTGTAGATATGGCCATTTAAGCTTCAGCGGCTTAAAGACTCTACAACAGAGACAAATGGTTACCGGATTACCTCATTTGACGGAGCCTTCATCAGTTTGTAAAGAATGTATGGCCGGAAAGCAACACAGAGAACCTTTTCCACAAAGGAGCTCGTGGAAATCTACACACGTCCTTCAGCTCGTGCACTCGGATATAGGAGGTCCTATAAATCCCATCTCTAACAGTGGTAAGAAGTACTACCTAACTTTTACAGATGATTTTAGTAGAAAATGTTGGGTGTATTTGTTCGATAAATAGGAGGGGGAAATGGTCTTTTCTAGTGGCAACATTCAATAAACGATAATCAAGACACACAAGCACCCAGTGACTGTCCTAGAAAGAGTAAGTTCATTTTTATCAGTGATAATTATTGCCATCCCACCTCTCTTATGTACAAGCTGTATTGGACTTACCCACGCATTATTCGAAATTGCATATATCATACGGGCGCCTACAAGTTTTAAGACTTTATTTTTTACTACCTATTTCATTGACGGCTTTAAACGCCTCTGCGGTTAGACTCTTGGTTTATAGACGTCTTCCATCAAAATTTTGTGTTGGACAACAGACGGGTTAATTCCCTTAATATTCTCTATGGACCACCCTATAGCCGACCTACATTCTCTAAGGACTTTCAAGAGTGTTTCATTTTCAGCCTCACTCAAACCGGAAGAAATAATCACCGGATAGGTCTTATCTGCTCAGAGAAAAGCCTGACAAAGATAATCCGGTAATTGTTTCAATTCTAGTTCGGGGGCCGTTTTCGCCTTAACAGGTATCTCAGGAATGATTCATACCTATTCTATTGCCATAATCTCTGAACACTCAAGAAATAGAACACAGTCAATCACATCATTATCAACTGGGGTATTAGGGAAGCAAAATGCAAATCAATAGAGTACCAACATTCACGATGACCTGCAAATAATATTTCACTAGTTCAAATTTGCAGTGTACAGTAATAGGACTTATTAAAATATTTAAAAAAAAATCCATTGTTATATCATATGGTGTTCTTATACACAGCTCTAATAATAACGTCTTGATTCTTTATGCAACTCCTTTATCCTCACTTTCTTGGACTTTCTTCAAGGCTGAACTCTCTTCAGATGACGAATGACCTCTCCCGAGATCTTTACAGCGAATTTGTATATGTGGCCACAACAACAACAATGGCACAGTACTGCTCCACATAATGCCCTAACAAAGCTCACTACATTGATGTATTTTTCTTCAATAAAAGCGTCAATGTTGTTTATTGGTTTGTTAGGATTATATCGGCACGAGATAAGCTCTACAGACCCTAGCTAGCTTAAACCTTAAAAAATCGAACGCAAGAAAATATAATTATATACGCTTTCTACACTAAATTTAGATAAGTACAAAGATGCCTAATCTAAATCAAATATATGGAAATAGAATAAAGTCCAAAATAATTAAAACTATAAAAATATGGACTTTAATGATTCCCAAAATAATAACATAGAAATCAATCTTTGCCAATCTTTATCTCATATCTTGGCAGATTTCTTGAAAACTCGTAAGAAATTTGACGGCAACACATACGATGATTCTATAAATTGGCTAGTTTCCCAAATGACTAGATGTATTAGAATGGGGTCATTACAAATAAGCCCATCAATGGGTACTTATTCATAAAGAGATCCAGACAAAAAACTCATTTACCAATAAGTTCACACATGGTCCAGATTTTTGTAAAAGACTAAAATAACCTCTCATACTTTAATATGCTCCAATTTCATCCTTAACTTAATTTAACCTCAATTTGACCCCAAATTTCACAAATTATTCAATTTTGACCCAAAACTTAAAAAAAAAAAAAAAAAATCAAATTTTTTTTTTCCCGCCGGATTCCGGCGTTGACTTTTTCGATTTTTTTTTTCTTCCGGATTTTTTCGCCGGTTTCCGGCGTTGACTTTTTCAAAAAAAAAAGAGGGTCCATTAGATATAACCCCCTTAGTCTTACAAAAAAGAGGGATATATCCAAACTCAAATTTGTCATTTTGATAAAAACCCATATTTTTCTAAATTTCATTAGTACCCTCAATCAAATCCCAAAAATCACCTCCATCTCCACCTAAAACTCCAGCATCGAGGTCACCATCTGCACTTGCGCCGCCACCAGCACCTCCACCGCCACCACCTCCGCCTCCAAGATCGTCACCTCCACCTAGACCTCGACCGGCACCACCTCCGCCTCCAAGGGTGCGACACTCGATTTAAGAGTGAAGCCAAGTAACTTAAATGCCCAATGTCGTTGTTATCTTCGTTGGCCACCGGCGACCGCCGCCGTCACTTCTCAGATATAGGGTTTTGATGATTTTTCGGCCCATAGTCGATGAATGAGATTCATAGTCGAATTAGATCTATGGGATAGTATATTAAATGATATGGGATAGTCTATTAATATTAAAACACAAATCCTCCACCGTCACTTCTCAGATCTAGGGTTTTGATGATTCTTCGGCCCATATTTTCGGCCCATAGTCGATTAACGAGATCCATGGTCGAATTAGATCCATGGGATAGTCTATTAAATGATACGGGATAGTCTATTGATATTAAAACATATATCCGTCGCCGTCGCTTCTCAAATCTAGGGTTTTGATGATTCTTCGGCCCATAGTCGATTAACGAGATCCATAGTCGAATTATATCAGTGGGATAGTCTATTAAATGATATGGGATAGTCTATTAATATTAAAACACAAATGAACATTGATATTCTTTTAATTTTGGCATTGATAGTTTATTAATTTAACACTGATAGTCGATTAATACAGATGTAATTCGACTATGCATCTCGTTAATCAACTATGGGCCGAAGAATTATCAAAACCCTAGATTTGAGTAATCCTAGATTTGAGTAACCCTAGATTGGAGCAGTGATGGCGGCGGCCAACGACGATATCACTCCTAAATTGATTGTTACGACCTTGGACGCGGGAGCGGCGGAGTTCTTGGTCGATTTTGGCGGTCTTGGAGGTGGAGGTGGTCGGATGTGGTGGTGGTGGAGGACTAGGTGGTGGTGGAGGTGTTGCTTATGGCTTTGGTGGAGGTTCTGGTGGCGACGCAGGTGATGGTGGCGACTTTGGTGGTGACGGGAGAAGAGCCAGCGCCGATGATGGAGGAGGCGGTAACGGTTATTGGCGGCGACGCTGATGGAGGAGGCGACAGCGGTGACGGAGGTGGCGGCGGTCGGAGGTGGAAGCGGCGAACCCGGCGGCGGCACTCTTTCGCCTAAAAAACTAAATGGAGATATAGGGTTTTGTAGAGGAAATAAATACCGTTCAAAAATAAAACAGGGGTATTAAAGGGAGATCAAATAATATATTGTGCCAAATTGGCATATTTGGGTGTATCTCAAAAAGGGAAAAATTAATTGGATCTACCTCGTTAGAAAATCTGAACAAGGAGGTTATCCCTAATAAACCCAAAAAAAAAATTCTTCTTCTTTCTGTAACATTATTTTTTTCATTTAAACATCAATATTGCTGTGATTGACAGTAATATTAACTATATTACTGTTAAACACAGTAAAATTAACTAAACTACAGTTTAACACAGTAATATTGCTATATTAATCTCTAGCACAATAATATTAACACAACAAAACTCATTATTATTGAGTAATAGAGTAAAATTACTATGTTGACCGTTTAACAAATGTAAACATAATAAAAACCCAAAAGAATTAATATTACTGTGTGTGACAGTAATATTACTATAACAACAGTAATATTACCGTCAACCACAGTAATATTACAATAATAGACAATAACATTATTACGTTACTCCGTGAATAACTCAAACAAACAAACAAATCAAAACAAAATAATAATATTGATGTGGTTGTCAACAATATTACTATAACAACAATA